CAGTGACATTCAGACAGCCAGACATTTACTGTATGCAGCCTGCAGGAACCATAGGCTAGGGAGAAAGGTGCAGCTCTGTGGAACAGCTTAACCAAGAAGATGATTTTTTTTCTGTATTTATGATTAATTCTAAACAAGGTTTTTTGTTTTCTTTGCCTTGGTAACCCAAGATTTCTGTTTTCTGCAGGCTGCCAATACCAGTATTGCCGTGAATATATTTGACCAGAAACTGATGGGCTCACTATGTTTGAACAGGTAATTCAGGGACAGCTTGGCCCAAGGTCATTCAGAAAGCAGTCCTGGCAAACTTAACATTAGGCACACGGCACACAATCAGATTACCATAACTTAATGATTATGGGTTTAGGTTTTTTTTTTTTTTTTTGGTGAGTTCACCTGCAGTAATTCCGTCAGGAAAAAGCTTTGTGCTCCTACATCTATCTTCATGCTTGAGTTAAGGGTCTGTTAATGCCAAGCTTCAGTAGTTCAGGAAACCTCATCTATTTGAGCTTGACAGGCTTTCTCAGCCAAGGAAATGTGGTTGCTATAACTAATGGCAATTAGTTAGTGTAACAATCAACTAATTCCAGAGAGTTATATTTGATTTAGTAGCTAGTGTTGTTATCAATTTCCCACACAGAGAGCATTCAAAGCATCCACAATGCATTTAGAAACCTGTCTTGAAAGCTGGAGTGCTAAGGGGCCTCAGGAATCTTATTTTGAACAAGTACTCATCTAAACTGCTCTGAATATGGAAACATAGAGCAGCACAGACATCCTCAGCAACAGCACACTCCCTTTTCTTTCCCTCCCTAGCAGGGCTTACACCAAAGCATTAAGCAAAAGTACCAAAATCCTTGAGAAAAAAAAAAAGGCACTAAGGTGCTGAGGAAGCCTGGAGCCCTGAGCAGTGACAGAATGTGACTAGAATAATCTGTGTTTGTTCTTTCTGGTGGCTCATTGTGTTTCTCTTCTTTCCCTCAGGCTCCAGTACTCCCTAACCCGCTCCAATGTTGGCTTTTTTGAGGTAAGCTGATAGTTTAAGCACTAAGAATTTCAGTGACAGTCAGGCTTAAGAGTAAGCAGCTAAAATCTGGCTATTATTTCTAAATCATCTGGCTTCTTTTTTAGAATGGTTCTTTTTCCCATCTTATGGCAGCCACCTTTCTGCTGTGTGTTTTAAAAAAGCATATTCTGGGGGGCACGTTGAGTGCTCTGGAAATGGGACACTCCGCAGTCTCTCTGACTGGTACGTGTCATACTTCATCAGTGAGCACAAATCGTCACCACGAAGCACACAGCACTTATCTGCAAGGCAGCAGCAGGCAGAGCAGCGTGCTCAGTGATCACATGCACCACGGAGCGAGAGGCGCTCCACGTGGTGCAGTGTACTCGGCACAGATGCTCACAATTACAGCAGGGAGCGGGAGCCAAAAGTAGTCTCAAATGCCCCAAATAGTGCTGTTACAGCTGGAGAGGGGAAAACCCAGCCTCCACGGAGAGTCAGCGAATTCTGAGAACAATCAATCAGTTCTGAGAAGCCGAGAAGATTAAAACTGCCCTAGTCCTGCTTTAGTGTTGGAGACAAATTATCTTACAAGTAAAGGAAATTGGCTGCTTTCGATGAAAATGTTGTCCAAGAAGGATGAGCTATTTGCATTTTGCATTTCATTTCCCTTGCATCATTTCAAAGGCTGAAGATCCAGAGGTCACTTTAACTTGTGACTCTCTTGGGCCAAATGACCTGAACAGTTGAATGTGAGCCTATAAACTCCATCCAGGCCTAGGGCTTGACAATTCCAGCGCTATCGGAAAGTAATCTCTAACTCAGTTTTCTTATCTGTGGCAGATCTCACTTCTGGAGAACATCCTGTCTTATATTTTACAGACTGAAGTAATTCCATCGGCTAATGGTGAGGCTACCTTTCCAATGCCACAGTGGGCAATTGTAGTAACTTCTCCTGACTTGTGCTGCTTAGGTTACTAATTCGCATTAACTTGAGCAGAAAATGACCATCAGCCAGTAAGCCACGGAGTGGGGAGACCGGTTTGTAGGGGTAGGAAGGCACTTTCTAGCTGGCACTGAGGCAGAAAGGACTGGGAAACTCATCCACCTCTCAATTAGTGACGGTGTTTCTGTGGGTGTTCTGTTATATACATCTTATTTAACCCCCCAAAGAGGGAGACATAGCTTTGAGTCAGCCCTCTGTACCAGGATGAACTTCACCTTCCTTGGTTAATGGAGACAGATAGGAACAGCTTCTCATGAAGGCTGGAGCTGCATTAACACTCCCTTGGGCCGTTGGGTAGAATCAGTGAGAAGGTAATGCCTAATGCACATGAAAGGCCTTGGTTTGACTCCAACACTCTGTCAAGAGAAGAACATCTGTAATTCGTTCCCCATCGGTAGATGAGCATCACACCTGCCTCCCAGCGAGGCTTGTGAAGACTAAGGTTAATTATTATAGATGACCTAGCAACCTCAGGCTAATTTTTTGATGAAGGGTGGGTATTTATTATCTTTTTACTGCATGCCTAACTCATTGTGCTTGTCTTTTCTTAAGCTAAACTGTCAAAAGGATTCCCTCTTCCTAATCTGGCCAATGTTACCTTGACAAGACCTCATATCACAATTGCAGAGGTGAGATTTTGATACTCTTACAAAATAGTTACTCTTTTTTTTTTTTTTTTTCTTGGGGAGATGGGGAGAGAGGAGGGAGGAGGATGTCTTCTCACCTTTTGTATTTCACAGGAAATTTCCTGGATCTGCAGTTAGTTAAGTACAGTGGCAGAAGGGGGCAGAAAATAAAACTGAGTTATTATACATACGCTCTAAGTGATTAAACGCACAGCTTGCTCGGCTTTGCAAGTTCTAACTCAGTGTGAAAACAAACTTGCCTTTTAAAATTTTGTTCAAGCTTG